AGCATCTGCCTTCCACGCGAAAAGTCCGGGATCGAATCTAGGCCGAGGACTAATTAATTTTTCATGTTTATTTTATTTTATAAATTAGTCAACTTCGTAAATTATTTTAAAATTAGTTATTTTGTCTAAATAACCTAAAATAATTTTTTAAATTTGTAGATTTTCGTTGGTGGGTCGTAGAAAAAATATACTGACCATATCGAGTAGATTGTTCATATCACAATCAGACGATTGAGTTCTCCGCCTACGACGTCGTGCTCAAACTTCGTCTTTGTGTGATATGGCTATCACATCCACCCTTGTTGAACAAACTACAATTTATTTGTTTTCTTGGTTTAAGTTTTACATCAGAAATAGGAATTAAATTAATTTACTTTTCAAGTTTTCTTGTAAAAATCGATATTACTTTCTCCAAGTACAAATTTAGTACCTACCTAAAATAAGTACTAATTATGTTATATCTTGTAATATTGTAATTTAAATTTCACATTACTATAAAGTTTTAAAATTTCCTACTTCGGTATGGTCAGATAAAAATTGAATATATTATATTAATAAAAACTGTCAAAGTTTAACTTCTACAAATCTGTATTTCAAATAATAAGAATACATCTAAATATAACCAATATTGTTAAAACAAAAGCACACATTCTTTATAATTCCAAAATACCATAGAGTTCCCAGACCTCAGTCGAAGCATTCGTTTATCTAGGTATAAACCCTTTGCGCGAAGAGTAACACTTGCCAGAGACACGGGGGTACCACTTGATTTGCATCCACGAGCGTGACACAATTCTTTAACAATTGAAGCCCTTGGTGTAAAATGGATCCAAGCCACAATTTGTCGTGAAGTGACTGTTTTAGCTCAAAACATTTGTTAACGAGGATTTTACTAGCCATATATAAATTATTTTACCTCTAATCCGAAAGATGTGCTATTTTTCGTAATATTTATATTTAAATAATTTTTTTAATTATATTTGAAAGATTTAAAACAAATTAAAAATGTAATTTCCCAAAACTTACTTAATATGGCATGTGACCAACCTTATTACGCCAAGGTTTTCAATTTTTTCAATAATAAAAAAATTGTTTAATCCGGGCCCGACTTTTCCCTTGAATCTAACAGAGATAGCACCATTCCGTCTTGCTTGGTTCTCGACCGCCAGATCAAAGACACCGACATGGAGTTGTGGAGCTGTATTGTATAAGCTGTGGTAATGGGTTAAAGAGACCGGAGATGTAACATTGTACCCGAGAATACCTATCAAGAAGAAGCGACAGTAGCTGTCGGTGCCTTTGATATCGCATGTACCTTTTTCACAGCATGACTTTGATTGATATACAACTAAGCACGCTGAGAAAACATGCTTATTTTCTCCACTGAGCGAAATAGTTTGGCAAATTATCTGAAATTATTGTTATAGTCCATGCGCAAATGTTGCAATGTGATTTAATTACATTGAAGTAGTTAGGGTTAATAGCAATGGTGAAATTTCGGCACCACAAGTATTAGAAATTAAAAATTTAAAAAAACCGACTTTAAAAACGTGCAGATGCCATCACCACATCTTAACCAAATTTATATGGGACCACTCCTGAGGTACCCCCTTACTAACAAAAAAAGAATCATATAAATCGGACAAGGTGGTAAAGCATTATCGCTAAACATACATAAAAAATGAAAAGTTTGAGGATATTCCCATGAACCCCATTATTAGATTTTAACTAAATTTATATGGGACCATCCCTAAAGTACCCCCTTTCTAACAAAAAAATAATCATTGAAATCGGACACCGTGTTAAAGAATAATCGCTGAACATACATAAAAAAAAATATCGCGACGAATTGATAACCTCCTCCTTTTTTGAAGTCAATTAATAATAAAAGCCCCATATTTAAATTAAATTAAATTACGTTTTCCTTAAGTAAAAATAAGTTAAATAAAATTAAGGGTGCCAAAAAAAAATTAGGTAACAATTAAAAAAACATTAAGTTTGAGAGGTTTAACTAAATATTTACAATGTGCATATATTTTCAAAGCTTTTAGGTTTAAAAAGTACTAACATATTTTTAGAATTTCTAGATTTATATTATATTAAAAGGATTTTCAAGTTTATCACTCATTTCTGTAGAAACAAATGTTTTCTCGCCAAGTTAAACGAGATGTCATTTAAGGTTTATGTATTTAGAGTTAATTACCTGGCCTGGCTATCACCCAGACAATACAAATATGTCCATTGGATGTCCATTCGATATACAATTTTGGATGTCTAGACGTCCAAACATGAGTTTCCTGGACTTCCAACATCCAATGGACGTCCAGTGAAGTATACAAATGGCACACTTTTGACCATTCAGAGGACGTCCAATTCTGGAATATATTTGGAAGTCGAATACTGGACATTTAAGAAACGTCCAGGATAATATTTCCATTGAGACCACATCCCCATTTTTTTTTACAGAACCGCAACTCACCAAACACTATTTTATATTATTAATAATTTGTTTATTATTTTCGCAAACCGCTATACACCATTTATTTATTTTTTATTAAAAATTGCTTGACCTGAGCAGGTATCGAACTCACGTTTTACGCTTTCAATCGCTAGACGAGCTCGACCAACGAACCACTTGAAAAATTTTTACTAGATACAGTTATAATTGAATTAGATTTCAAACTTCCGCTGATAGAATGAAATGCAATAGATTTAATTTGTCGATTAAAAAAAACAAGTATATATAGATGGGTATTATCTGGTAGGCTTAATAAATAATGACCTAAAATGGACGTCAAAATACTACTAAACTTAAAATTAAGTCCAAAAAGAGACGTTCTCTGGGTATCGATATTCAGCTGTCAATTTAATTAGCATAAACGGACGTACACTGACGTTTGGGGTTGCCAAGCTGTATCGTCGAAGAAGAAACTGACTAATAATATATGTTGGACTTCTTTTCGAGAAGGAAAATTAGTAATCTACTCATTTATTTTATACTTATAATGTGTATTTTCTGTTTCATGGCGTTTGGGGTTGCAAAGCTGTATCGTAGAAGAAGAAGAAGATAAATAAAATATGTTGGACTTCTTTTCGAGAAGGAAAGTTAGCACTCTACTCATTTATTTTATACTTATTGCCGCGTTTGAGAATCCACATCGGATGCATTTTTTACATTTCGAGCGTTTTTTTATCTACATACATATAAATCGTTTATTTAGTCAAAAAAACTATTTTTTACATGTCAATACATCTTCACATTTAAAATATAAAAAAATACATATAGAATCAACATTCAGTAAATGATGGACAGTGTTGTATCCTGGAATATGTAGCAGCCATACAGCTACTTCATACATAATACAATTTTCATATACATTACATTTTTTTAATATTGGATTTGTATTATATATATTCTTTAATAAATTTATTTTTTGAATATGCTTGTTTTTTTATCTAAAAACTGTTAGCCAAATTAAGATTTATTCACACAAACTGCATTTTTGCTTTATTATAGCGAAAATCTTAATTTGGCTCACAGTTTTTAATGCGGATAATTTTTACTGTCAAATTTGAATAGCCCCGCTCTTTTTTTCTCTTCTTCTTTTTATTATTTTCTCTTCTTTCATATGGCCTCTGACCAGACAAAGACTTAATTGAAGAAAATCAACCACGTTCACCAGGTGTCGCTGAAAATTCTATCACCGTTTTTTAACATGGGAGTTTTCGTTCTAAGAGTAAGTGTTCTGTGCACAGCCCTTTTTGATTGCAACTCTCAGTTTGATAGGTTGGTTCGTAGTTTGGTTATGAATGTATTTGCAGGATGACAAAAGGTAATCAAATTTTGCACTATCTAACTTTAAATTGCTTCTAAAATATTATATAAGTGTATTAAATCGCTTGGTGAGGTAAATGTTATGAATTAACAATTTATTTTATATTGTATGTACGAAACATTTCTTTCGTTTCATGCGACATCAGACACAAAATGGCCGTCAATTTTAATTATGGTTTTAAATATTCGATTTTTTTCCATCTTTTAAGAGTGGTACATATAGCGAACCTAAGTTAATATTACCATTTATAGATTTAAGATATGTATTTGACTATTTAGAGTAATTTTTGCAAATTTTTCATGATATTTTTTTTATACACGTGTTAAAAAAAGGAACAATATTTTTTTTTTCTTACGGAAATTGACACCAGGCTTTTGTTTTATTTTTTATGAAAGAGAGGAGAAAGAGAGGACAATAACGAAAGAGAGGAGAAAGATAGAAAAGGGACGAATGATTCGATCATAAAGGAAGCAGTGGAACGAGGTTAAAAGAACTCTAAAGCAGACTAGGAGATATCTGTATCGTTAGCAATTTTTGACCAGGCTCCTGAATATAGTAGGGAGTTCGAGAAGTCACCTTTCAACCCCCAGGAGAAGCTGAGACTTTCTATAGACCTCTCTCCTGTCTATCCCTGCCAGTTAAGTGAAAATTATAAAAACCCTCACGTGTTTTAACCAAGCGATATACTCATTTTTTTTGTGTGTTAAATTCAATTTTACATCATATATTCAAGTTATTGAAATCAGTTTTATTTGCAAAACCTAAAACCAGTGCACATTCCAACATTACTTGTACATTTATTTTTTTTTTGTTTTGGAAGACAAACCCACAGTAATTAACTATTTAAATAAACATCCATATATGTATTAATTTGCGTATTATTTCTGACTTTCAGCTGGTAATTTTATGGTACGATTCGTATTTATCCATCACCTAAATACGTGGCGTCCACAATTGAGGTTTTTTTATTTCTTTAACAATCTTTTTAATTAAAGATTGTACCATAAAATTACGAGTCAAATTCTTAGCCGAATCACACTGACCCAATATTTTATACCATTCATAGAGCTAGTCTGGGTAAGTTATGTCAATGGGATAACCAACGTAACAGTATACAGATAGGAAAATAAAAAGTCGAGGTTCTTACACAACAAAAACACAATTTTAGTGAGAAGGATGTGCTTTTTTATTTTTCAAAAGTTTATTAAATTGTGGTGCAACTTTTGAAACGTTAATAATCAAATCATTTTCTAATTGCAGTCTATTTCTCTTTTTAGTTTTAATGTCTACCATTGAAGAAAATGTCAGTTCACACAAGTATGAAGTGGCGAATGCTACTAATAATTTAAGAGCTTCCTTTGCCAGCTCTGGATATTCGTGTTTTCTTTTCAACCAAAATACGTAGACACTTTGCGAATAAAATTCCATTTTAAGAATGCCATCAGCAGCTAAATCTAGAAGACATTCTTTCATTTTTGTGGTGACATCAGCCAGATTTATTGATTTGTCCAAAAAATGGTTTAAAATCCATCTACGCCCATTGTCAGCTTCAGAGTGAAAATCTGGAAAGCATGTCAAAAGTTTCTCCTGTAAATTATGCAAGCTCTGTATCATGCAAAACTTTGGTCTGTTGCATTATCTTTAACAATCTTCTGAACACATGGAAAATACTCAAACATTTTGTGTTGCAGAGAGGTTGACTACAAACGAAGTTTGGCGTGAAATGCTTGTACTTTATCTTTAACTGTTAAAATATTTTCTTCTCTTCCTAGAAGGTTCTTGTTGAAATTGTAAAGGTGGCTAAAAAGGTCTGCCAAAAAATCTAATTTCAAGAGCTAAATAGGGTCAGAAAAACGATAAGCAGATTTTGCATCTTGTAAGAACGTTAACAATTCAGCTCTCAGTTCCAAAACTCTTGTAAATACCTTTCCTTTGGATAGCCACCTAACCTCTGTGTGATATGTAGTCTAGGATGCCAACCGAGGCGGACGTTCCGGTTGATCGCTCCGAGAATAATTGTTTTATCTGCTTATCAAGTATTAGAAAAACCTGTGTTAAGTGTTCCAACAATAAATGTAGTGTAATTATTCATTACAAGTGTTTTGAAACAGTGTCTAAGTTATTTTTCACGGAAAGAAAGGAATGGAAATGTAAGTCTTGCATAGAAAATTGTTCCGTTGATCAAAATCCTAGCGATAATATTTCTGATTTAAAACATAAAGTTATTTTTAATGGATATATGAAAAGAGAAAATGAGCTTTTATCTAATTTGAATCACGAACTAAAATTAAATAATGATCTTCTTCAAGAAAAAGTTAAAGATTTGTCCGACAAATTATCGTCAATACCTATCTCAAATAGTGTTTTTGCTGCCGGTGGCAGTGGGCCATCTTTTTACAGTGATATGCTAAAGAAACCAGTGGCTAACAAAATGCCTTCGTCAAGTCTCCTAATACAAACAATAAATAAAGGGAACAATTCAAATGTTTTAGAAGATATTCAAAAATGTGTAAATCCTGCAGATTTAAAAGTATGCATTAATGGTACAAAAAAAACTAAGAATGGTTTAATTATAAATTGTGGTAATCAAAAATCTCTGGATAAACTTAAAACTTCGATAAATAATCAACTTGGTAAGAAATATACGGTCAGTGAAGCCAAAAAGTTTAACCCCCGACTTATTATAAAAAATGTTCATATAGATGAAGATATGTCCTACGAAGAAATAGCTAACACTATTTTCTCTCTCAACCAAATGGATGCCTTTAGTTCCTGTGATCTTAAAATTGTTACTGTGCTAAGATATTCTCAAAAGACATATTGTGATATTGTTTTGGAAGTTTCCCCTTTGTTAAGAAACCATTTGTTGCAAAAATCTTTTGTGCATATAGGCTGAAAGGGATGTCCAGTAAATGACTATTTTAGGGTTGTTCGATGTTATAAGTGTTCGGGTCTAGGTCATGAAGAAAAAAATTGTGAAGGTAAAAGGATTTGTCCTATTTGTGCAGACGAGCACTCTATAAAAGATTGTAAAGCAGATCGAAAGAAATGTAGTAATTGTTTTATTCATAATAGTAAGTACAAAACCAGCTTAGATTGTAACCACGCTGCCAAAGATGTAAGTAAATGTCAAATTATTCAAAATTATATATCTAATCTAAAAGTTAATATAAAGTATGAATAAAAGGAATATCTATAAGCATAACACTTTAAAAATTGGACATATCAACGTTCGATCAATCTTAGCTGGTTTTAATGACTTTTCGACTATTGTTTATGATAAAGATTTTGATATTGTAGCTGTGTCAGAGACATGGCTTAAAACTGATATACCATCTTCTCTTATACATATTGATGGATATAATTTTTTTCGATATGAAAGAAATAGCCGTGGTGGTGGAGTTGGAGTTTTTGTCAAAAGTAAATATCACTGTCAAACTGTCACATCTGGGCAAAGTGTAGACTTGGAGTATTTATGGGTTAAAATAAAAATTAATAGCAGATGTGTTTCAGTTGGTATTTTATATAGACCACCGAAGGGATCTGTGCCAAATTTTATTAATTTGCTGGATGATATGTTGACATCAATTGTGCCACAATTTGATAATATTTTTGTAGTTGGTGATGTAAATATCGATTTAACTAACGCTGACAATAATGTAAATCGTTGCTTTGAAGCCTATGGTCTAAAACAAGTCATTTCAGAGCCTACACGCATCACAAAAACCTCAGCTACGCTATTAGATCCTATCTATATTGAAAAATCTAAAATTTGTTTGGTAAGTGGTACTCTAAACGCTGATCTCTTTTCTGATCATAGGTTTGTTTACTGTGTTTTAAAATTTGAATGTGTAAATAATCCACAAAAGTTTATTACCTTTAGAGATATTAAAAACTTAGATATGCATGCTTTTAATAATCAATTAAATAATATACATTGGCTTGATATAGTTACTGTAACAGATATAGAAAACAAAGTCAGATTTCTTACTAATAATATTACTAAATTATTTGGTACTCACTGTCCGTATAAAACAATAAGGGTCAGTAAACCTCGATCTCCCTGGCTAACAGAAAATCTCAAACTGATATACAATGAACGAAATAAAGCACTGTCTCGTTTTAAGCGCCTAAAAACGCCAGAATCTTGGAATAACTATAAACAGCTCAGAAACTTTGCTCTTCGTTCTGCTAGAAATGAAAAAGCTGCCTGCCTTCGTCATGTAAGTGCTCAAGGTACATCAACATTTTTTAAAACTTTGAAAACGATGAATATACAAGCTTCTAAAAATAATGACATAGCATACGAATTAGCTGATCCATATAAAATTAACGATGCCTTTATCTCAGTTTTTCAAAACAGTAATGAAAACTGCTTTGAAAAAATTGCGTACTACAGAACAAATAAATTTAATTTTAATAAAACATTTGAATTTAGCCTTGTTGATGTTGACACCATCTCCAAAACTATAGGTGCAATAAAATCGAATTCCAGTGGCGTAGATAATATATCTTTAGAAATGCTTAAACTTTGTATGCCAGTGATTTCTATTTATATTACGCACATTGTGAACTGTTGCCTTGAAAGCGGATATTTTCCTGATCAGTGGAAAAAAGCAGTCGTGGTACCTCTTCCAAAAAAAAACAAATCCAACTACTTTTAATGAATTGCGTCCTATAAGTTTACTTCCTATTCTCTCTAAAGTTTTGAAGAGAATAGTGTATGAGCAAATCTATGAATTCTTTTCATCTAATAATATACTTCCATTGCACCAATCAGGATTTCGAAAAGGGCACAGTACCACCACTGCTCTTTGCCACTTAACGGACTCAGTAATGTCGGGATTGGATCAAAAACAAGCCACAGCCCTAGTGTTACTTGACTATACTAAAGCGTTTGATACTTTAAATCACCTTTTATTAATTTCTAAATGCAATTATTATGGTTTTTCTGAAAAGCCACTTTCTTTTATAAAAACATATCTTAATAATCGTTCGCAAAAAGTTTTACTAAATAGTCAATCATCAAGTTTCCTATCAATTCAATCTGGAGTTCCGCAGGGTTCCATTCTAGGGCCTTTGCTATTCCTTATTTATACGTCTGATTTAAACAAACAAATAGAAACGTGCAAGGTCCAATTTTTAGCTGATGATACTCAATTACATCACACTTTTGATGATAATAACTCTAATGCAGCACAGAATATAATGAACGCAGATTTATCACGAATAAACACATATTCTGTAAACCATAACTTGCATTTGAATGCTTCTAAATCTAAGTTAATTTTATTTTCGAATACCAACTCACGTTCAAGCATAAAAAGTAATATGTCAATTAAAATTGATGACGATACAGTCCCATGTGTAAATGTAGCTAGAAGTCTAGGCTTACTTTTAGATGAGAACATGCGGTTTATTGAATATGTGAATAACCTCTCTTCTCAGTGTTATTTAACAATAAAATTATTATTTGCCAATAAGTATATAATGTCACAACAAATGAAAAAAGACCTTTGCGAAACTCTAATATTGAGTAAAATATTATATTGCATAGTAATTTACTATTCTTGTTTAGATTTAGTGACTTCGAACAGACTGCAAAAAATTCAAAATACCTGCTGTCGCTTTATTTATGGGTTGCGCAAATATGATCACATTTCAACATATTTTAGGCAGCTGCAATGGTTAAACATCAAAAACTTATTTAAATATCATCTTCTCTCTTTTGTCCACAATATACTAAAATCTCAAAATCCACCATATTTGGCAACTAAATTAATTTCTCGTAATCAGATTCACAATGTAAATATCCGCAGACAATTTACACTAACAATGCCACAACACACATCTGCTATTTTTGCTAGAAGTTTTACGTACAATGCCATTAAACTTTGTAATGAACTAGACGATGAGCTAAAAAATACTTATTCTCGATCAAGTTTTAAACACAAACTAAAAAAACTCCTACTCCAACAGCAAGCCAACAATTAATACGTTTGTTTTTTCCTATATTTAAAATTTAAATTTATTTTAATTCTACTACTTTTATTATTGTTTTTATATGTTTTCTACTGTTTTAACCTTATTTGTGTATTGTATTTTAACATTTAATCATTTTAACATTTTAATATATCTTAATACTTTCTGTTTTAAATTAAGAGGAGTTAGATGGAAGAATAGCCTATGGCTAAATCTCGCTCCATTGCTAAAATTTTTGTAATATTTTGAAAAATTATCAATAAAGACGGTTTATTATTATTATTATTATTATTATTATTATAAAGGAGATTTTGATGAACCGAGCCCATATCTTTACAAACGATTCGGAATAGCCGCGTTTGCAAAGGTTTACCTTATATAGAATTCACAATTTTTATTACCTCCTTGAGCACGTCATAAATCAGAAGGTACTACCTTAGCAGCTAGAGCCTGTCGATGAAGAAACCATTGTATCCAGGATATGTTTGAGAATATTAATTTTAATTTTGCAATGAGTCCGCTATTTTTGCCAGTCATAGCTTTAGCGCCATCTCTACAAATAGCGATACATTTTTTTTTTCAATCAATATCGGAGTCGCAAGTGCTTTCTAAAAACATAACGTACAAACACTGGCCAGTAGTGTTTGCAGGAAGTGCTTTGCAAAATAATATTTCTTACGTGATACTGTCATCTGCTTCAAAGCGCACAATTACTACAAACTGTGCACAGTCGGAAACATCTGTAAATTCGTGAAACTGCAAACCAAAATGTTGGCTGTTCTTTAATTTTTCGACTACTTGTTCTTGAATATCCTTGGCCATTCGTTTATTCTGCGTGAAATAGTATTGTCAGAAAGTAGTATGTTTTTTAATTTGTTTGCCTCCTGCTTACTAACCATAATTTCAACTATATCAAGTGCTGCTGGCAAAATATGATTTTTGGCAATTGTATGTGGTTTCCCTGCTTTAGCAACTCGATATGCGACTTTGTAGCTAGTAGCTAAAAATGTTGACACGTTGACACTGGATGCCTGAAAATAAACCAAACAATATAAAAGTGAATAGTCAATAAAAATTAAGGACGCGAAACCTTTGCACACCGAAATTAAGTATAATCAAAAGTTGTATGCAAACAGCAAAGAAATAAACATCATAAAATATCAACAGTAAAAGTAGCAACAATTAGAATAGACTCGCCTTAAGCTTATCGCTTAAGTGCATTGAAGGTCTTAACAACACGTCGTGGAGACTAGGAAAACATTATTTTATTACTTACCTGAATTATAGTATTTTGCTGCTAAGAGCATTTAACTTTCGTTAAAAAACATCCAACGGCTTATCAGCTTCTTTTTGATGCTTGGTTGTGAGATGCCGCATAAGCTTTGACGGTTTCATACCCTTACGTGATAAAACATCGCCACAAATTCAACATTGAGGTTTATTATTAATGACAGTGTATTTCAAATAACTGTCATCGTAATGTCTATTTTTTCAGGTTTGATCACATACAAATCAAAGTATGTGGGTTTGATTAACCACCACCGCTTTTGACACTCGTGCCAGATGTTGAAGGCTGCGATCATAGCCCTCAGAAGGTCTAGATACCGCATCGTAAAAATATTTTGACCCCCCATATGATGGGCGCCATGATAAATAAATGTCCATACATTTTAAGTTGGCACTTCTGACAAGACAGAATCGGCACAAGTTTAGTAATAAGCGTAAGATCAGCGTTCGACGTATATAATCGATTTTTTTATCTGTTGTGTTGTTTATTTTGTTCTTCTAGTAAAGGTTTTATTTAAAACATTATTTTTTAGTTTAGTCGTTTAGTGTTTTATTTTAATAAAAAACATTTGTGGTTTGGTGTTAAAATTTTTAAAGGATTTTCAAAATCTCTTGTTGTTTTGTACGTGAATTGCATCCAACAGTAGAAGATACAAGGAAGGAATAACATTGCACGTGTAAGTTTTCAAAAATATTTGTATATTTTCAAAATCAAATAATTTGTGTTTTGTTGTAGCATACCAAAAAATTTTAGGAAAGAATAACTGATAGCCGTAGGAAGACCATTGAATCATTTTGTGACTTTAGTATAAGCCCAGAAAATTTGGGGATACTAGCTGAAACGGCAAATGTGTTATTGGCTCCTTGTTAATGACCTATTGTACAATTTTTCCAACACACGTTCCGTGATCCTTTGAACTTGGCTGCACCGTACTGATGAAGACCAATAGTCAGAAAAACGTGTCGACCGTTACTTCTTTTTTACTTTTTTTTATTCGGAAAATGTCCACTATTACTACCTTGATACAATAATATTAGTTCCATTCTAAGTAGGTACATATTATAGTTTGTATGTTTTATGCTTTATTTTATTACATGTAATAAATGATAGGAAATATACTTTTATAGTAAATAAATTGATTAAAGCAATATGTAAGAATAAGTTTATCTAAGGATTAAATTGTTAAAATTTTTCATATCCATTGTTTATTAATTTGTTTCATTTAATTCTTTCTTATTGAGTAAGTTATTTCATATAAATATGCGATACATGTAAAATGTAATATTTTCTTTTAAATAGGTATATATTATGTTTGTATAAAATATTGTTCAGTTAATAAAAACAGAAATATTTTGTCTTTTATTCAAAAGAAGATTGTAAATTTTTCAAAATATATTTACGTACCCCAAAAAAAGATTAATAAAACCAGTTAGTCATATACACATTTTCTATATATTTATAGAGGTACTTTTTAAATAACTTTCAATACATTCGAAATCTGTGGTTTCATTAAACTCAATGTAACAAATTAATAATAATAATAGGTATTCTCAAAAATATTTAAAAATAAAATCGAGATGGGACTCTTGTATAATTTAGTGACTATTCGTCTATGGTTAGTGCACTGCTGTATGTCCCTGGGTTTTCTACATTAGAACAATACTGCTTCTCCACTCTAGCAGTATTTTTTGCATCTCACAAGATTATATTTATTAAAAAACCAAGGAATTGTTTTGGGCCTATTGCTGTGCCATTTTCCAACATTCTCAAAGTTTTTTTTTTACTTTCTGCTGATTGGATCTCCGATAGCGACAACTCCATTTGTTGTTCCACTAGTTTTTTATCAAATTTTTAAAATAACTTCTATATATTTATCTTTTGCAACGACTTTGCTTACCTGCTTCATAATCTCTTCCCTATGCCCCAATTTCTCTAACAGGTGAGATCTTATACTCGCTCTATTAAATCAAATTATCATTATAGTTTATTTGAAAATGCTTGGTAGCACAGTTTTTATGGTAAAGGTCCATATTTTTATATAATTTTGCTATTATTCATTTTCAAATAAACTATAGGAATAGGAGTAATCTATTAGTTTTTCTAAAAATACCTTGTTACCGATGTAAGTATATCTTTCCCTAGTTCAAAAATTCGAGTTTTTATTTTCATAATATAAATAAATGACAATAAATGACAATAAATGACAATAAATGACAATAAATGACAATAAATGACAATAAATGACAATAAATGACAATAAATGACAATAAATGACGGTTAACAATCACATTCTTTTAAATAGTACATTTGACATTGAAGTAGGTATTTTCTCCATATTGCCAAACAGGAACAGATGGTTTACTTGTAATTTGAATTATATTACATAAATCTCACTGAATTTCTCTATAATTCTCATAGCAATATGTACACAAATCACTTATCCAATAATATATATAACCATATAAAAATAACATTTCAAGAACGAGAAAATTTATAAAACCGGTCCTGTCTGAACAGATCTAGGAAAATCAAATAGGTTTGTCAAAGTTCTGTTCTTAATTTGAAATTAGAAATTGTGCGTCTCACTCACTTATAACTAATAACAAAGTGCAGATTATCGGTGTTCACGTATTACAGAACACACAAACTAAAAATCAGTGTAGCCAAAACATAAATTTACCTAACATGGCGACAAGCTTGAATGGGGTCATTTTTTTGTATTGACAGCATACGCCAAGCGGTATCTAGACTTTCTGAGGGCTATGGCTGCGATCTTTTGCGAAATTTATCCATTTTACAAACGCGCGCAGCAAGCGAAAAAACAAAAGAATGACGTTTGTACTCAACGGTGACTGCGCTTGATTGAGTGAGATGAGCAAAGACGTTACAACTAAGAGACCAAATTGTTTACATTTTTATGTGGCAAATCATTATTCCCACCAGATTCTCGTTTATTGCGTCTTTGTCGGTTTTATCAGTCTGTAAAAATTATTTGGAGAAAAATAAAATTTGATGTATGCTATAACTATAATTTTATGTTATATAAATAAAAATAGGTTTTTAATCAAATTATTCTTTAAAGTTTTAATATAAGCTAATTTTTTTATTTAAAATCAATATTAATTTAAACAAAATATTAGGGTTGCAAAGAACTCCGTAAGTACGGCAACGCTGAATATTTTTTTTTACGAATTTACAACTTTTATGAATGAAATGTAGTTACCGTAACCAGCCGCAAGGTTGCCAATCGGGTCTAACAGCTATTTTGTATTTCTGACAGTTTCTGACAGTTACTGTGTGACTTATTGATTTATTCATTTATAAAATACTATTTTTGTGAACTTTTGTGAGAAATATAAAGAATTATGGTACATGCATGTCTAGTGTTCAATAAGGTAGATCATTTAAATCAAAATTTATCCTTACATCAAGTATTTTTAGGTTAAGATATGTTGTTTTCATTTGAACCAGTGGAGTAGGGCACGCGTCTTAAGACTGTTTTGACTATACAATTTCTTGTACAAGATTTGATACAATTTCTTATAGAATTTAAATTGTATAGGCTCATATAGTAAATTGTATGAAAAATGATTATCCAATCTACTTTTTCAGACAATTTACTGCAGATTTGATAACATATAATTTAAATTGTACAGGGTGAGCGAAACTCGATGTCTCAGCTCCATTATGGGACAAGGGAAAAAGATAGGAAAAAGTTGAAAAGAGGTTCTTAAATGGGATAGAGTAAGGTCCGTTTTAAGCCCAATTTGCATATTTGAACATATTTGGAAACAGGTAATGACGTCATCGATTTTTTTTTTTTTCAGAAACATACCTATATTTTTACAAATTTAAAAAGAGCTAATTTTTCTGAACAAATTTTATATTGAAAAAAAAATTGATATCTCCTTCACTTTAAAAATTATAAGCAAATTTGTAAAAAAAAGTATAATCAAAAATTCAGAATAGTCACAATTGCCTGTGCTTCTCGAAAATTTGTCATTACAGCTTCGAGCAAATATGTATTTCCAGCATGATGGAGCTCCACCGCATAAAGCAAGAATTGTCCAACGATATTTGAATGAAACTTATGGAGAACATTGGATAGGTATAAATGGACCGATACAGTGGGCGCCTAAATCACTAGATTTCTTTTTGTGGGGAATTTTGAAAAATAAAGTTTACAGAACACCATCAGTTAACATGGAACATTTAAAAGACAAAATCAGAATTGCTTGCGATGAATTATCTAGACAAATATTATGTAAGGCTTCGGTAAGAGAAGTAAGATGGAGATTGGATAAGTGTTTAGAAGTATGAGGTGGTCACATTGAAAATTTGTTTTAGTGATTGACTTTGCTTACAAGTTTTGTTTCTCTCTCTTGTAAGTAATATATTATTTGTTTTTGTTTTACAAATTTGCTTATAATTTTTAAAGTGAAGGAGATATCAAATTTTTTTCTTTATAAAATTTGTTCAGAAAAATTAGCTCTTTTTAAATTTGTAAAAATACAGGTGTTTCAAAAAAAAAATTGATGACGTCATTACCTCAGTTTCCAAATATGGACAAATATGCAAATTGGGCTTAAAATGGACCTTACTCTATCCCATTTAAGAACCTCTTTTCAACTTTATCCTATCTTTTTCCCTTGTCCCATAATGGAGCTGAGACATCGAGTTTCGCTCACCCTGTACAAGAACTTGTATCAAAAACTTGTGTAATCTAAAACAGTTTTAAAACAG